AGGGGACGCATGAAAGGCAACCATACATTGATGTTTCTCTCCCTCTCTCCTTCCCCTCTAAAGATAAAGAAATAAATAAAATCTTTTTAAAAAGATACATGAAAGTTCAACAAAAGTATATTAGAAAAGAATATTTTGAAAGTCCTTTGTACTCTTAATGCTAAACACACTTAATTAGTTAATTAATTAAGTCTAAAATAAAAAGATTCTAAGTGAATTGTTAGAGGTATATCTCATAGTTTTTATATGAATATCTAAACATAATTGAACCATTTAAATCTAAATTTTATATAAAATTGTGAGACTTTTCTTAATATATTTATAAGTTCATAGGAAGTAAAATAAATATTACTTACCTCTTAAAGTGAATATATTTCTATTGGAAAAATAAGTGTTGAAGTATATATTTAACCAACCATTTTCATTTAATATTTTATAATATTTTCATTTCACTTTATCCCACTCAGTAAGAAACCTCCTAATAGTAGTTGATTTAATAATATTAGTCGAGCAACCAAAGAAGTAATGTGAAATAAAATCAGCAAAGAGTTGCCTTTGTTTTCTGTGGCGCACGTACATAGTGGGTGCAGTACCTTCTGAGGACTCTGAGCGCCGCTGTTCACCTACGAGGAGAGAAATGCGGGCGCTCGGTTTGGATTCTCAGGGCTCTAGCTACACAAAGCTCCACATTTCTACACACCGGCTCCGAGGATGGAGGGACACTTACTCTAGAATTTAAGGCGCTCAGGCTACAGAGTCTCCCTGCAGCCAAATAGAGAAAAAGGAACCGGTCAAAACGCACAAGGTGCCCAGCGAGGGCACTGCCAGAATTCCGTGACCAAACAACAATGGCCGCTCAAAGGAATCGCGTCCACCGCAGCGCGCTGGTTCTGCTCTGCCTTTTGCTCGGTGTGCCACGGAAGGCTGAAGCCCGGCAGATCCGCTACTCGGTGCCCGAGGAGGTGGACAAAGGCTCCTTCGTGGGCAACATCTCCAAGGACTTGGGGCTGGCGGCCCAGGAGCTGGCGGGGCGCGGAGTCCGCATCGTCTCCAGAGGTAGGACGCAGCTTTTCGCTCTGAACCCGCGGAGCGGCAGCTTGGTCACCGCGGGCAGGATAGACCGGGAGGAGCTCTGCGCTCAGAGTGCGCGGTGTCTGCTGAATTTTAACATTCTCGTGGAAGATAGGGTGAAACTTTTCGGGATAGAAATAGAAGTGACTGATATCAATGATAATGCCCCCAAATTCCAAGCGGAAACTCTAGACATAAAGATTAATGAAAACGTCGCCCCGGGGATGCGTTTTCCTCTCCCGGAAGCTGTGGACCCGGACGTGGGCGTGAACTCCCTACAGAGCTACCAGCTCAGCCCCAATAGGCACTTCTCCCTGGCAGTGCAGAGCCGTGCCAATGGTGCCAAGTACCCGGAGCTGGTGCTGGAGCACGCCCTGGACCGGGAGGAAGAGGCACAGCACCACCTGGTCCTCACAGCCTCCGACCAGGGTGACCCTCTCCGCTCTGGCACGGTCCTCATCAGTGTCATGGTCTTTGATGCAAATGACAACGCACCGGTCTTCACTTTGCCTGAATACCGAGTGACTGTGCCCGAGAACTTGCCTGTGGGTACACAGCTGCTGACGGTCACGGCCACCGACAGGGATGAAGGAGCCAATGGAGAAGTGACATATTCATTCCGAAAATTACCTGACACACAGTTGTTGAAATTCCAACTAAATAAAAATACTGGAGAAATAAAAATATCAGAAAATCTAGATTATGAAGAAACAGGTTTCTATGAAATAGAAATACAAGCGGAAGATGGTGGAGCGTATCTTGCCACCGCGAAAGTGTTGATTACAGTAGAAGATGTAAATGACAACAGTCCAGAGGTGACCATCACATCCCTGTTTAGTCCCCTGAAGGAAGATTCACCTCTAGGGACTGTGATAGCTCTTTTAAACGTGCATGACCTGGACTCTGGGCGGAATGGACAGGTCACTTGTTCCATATCAGGGAATCTGCCATTTAAGTTAGAAAAGTCCATTGACAGTTATTACAGATTGGTGACACACAGGGCCCTGGACAGGGAACAGGTGCCCTCCTACAACATTACTGTAACAGCCACCGACGGAGGAAGTCCACCCCTGTCAACGGAAACTCACTTCACCCTACAAGTGGCAGATATCAATGACAACCCGCCCACCTTCTCTCACATATCCTACTTTACCTATGTCCCAGAGAACAACCCCAGAGGTGCCTCCATCTCCTCAGTGACCGCACTAGACCCAGACAGCAAAGAGAATGGTCAGGTTATTTACTCCCTAGCTGAAGGCACTATCCACGGGGCTCCTCTATCTTCCTACGTCTCCATCAATTCTGACACAGGGGTACTGTATGCACTTCGGTCTTTCGATTATGAGCAGTTTCGGGATCTACAGATGCAAGTGATTGCCACTGATAGTGGGAACCCGCCACTCAGCAGCAACGTGTCACTGAGTCTATTTGTGCTGGACCAGAATGACAACGCTCCAGAGATTCTGTACCCCTCGCTCCCCACGGATGGTTCCACTGGTGTGGAGTTGGCACCCCGCTCTGCAGAGCCTGGCTACCTGGTCACCAAGGTGGTGGCAGTGGACAGAGACTCAGGCCAGAATGCCTGGCTGTCCTACCGCCTGCTCAAGGCCAGCGAGCCAGGGCTCTTTGTGGTGGGGCTGCACACGGGCGAGGTGTGCACCGCGCGTGCTCTGCTGGACAGAGATCCCCTCAAGCAGAGTCTGGTGGTGGTGGTCCAGGACCATGGACAGCCTCCTCTCTCAGCAACTGTCACACTCACTGTGGCAGTGGCTGACAGCATCCCAGAAGTCCTGGCTGATCTGAGCAGCCTTGAGCCCTCTGCCAACCCTGATGACTCCAGACTCACTCTGTACCTGGTGGTGGCAGTGGCTGCTGTGTCCTGTATCTTTCTGGCCTTTGTCATCTTGCTGCTGGCACTCAGACTGCGGCGCTGGCACATGTCACGTCTGCTCCAGGCTTCAGGAGGGGGTTTGGCAGGTGTGCCCACCTCACACTTTGTGGGTGTGGATGGGGTGCAGGCGTTCCTGCAGACCTATTCCCACGAGGTCTCCCTCACTGCGGACTCTCGAAAGAGTCACCTGATCTTCCCACAGCCCAACTATGCAGACACGCTCATCAGCCAGGACAGCTGCGAGAAAAAAGATCCTTTGTCTTTGTTAGACGATTCGAAGTTTCCTATAGAAGATACTCCTTTGGTTCCAGTGAGTTCAATTTTTACTCCTTTCCTTTTATTAAAAAATTTTTTGATTGGATTTGCTTTTAGGTTTGCAGCATGGTGATGGAATTTTTTAATCTTTATTATTTCACTTTTTCCTTTCAATTTTCTTCTTGCTAAAATGCTCCAGAGTAGAACTTGCCTGTTATTAAGGCTATGGTTTTTTTTTTTAAGATTTTATTTATTTATTTATCTTTAGAGGGGACGGGAAGGAGAGGAGAGAAATATCAGTATGGTTGCCTCTGGTGCGCCCCCTGCTGGGAACTGGCCTGCAGCCCAGGCATGTGCCCTGACTGGAATAGAACCTCGATAGTGTGGTTCACAGTCCCGAGCTCAATCTACTGAGCTACACCAGCCAGGCCTTAAGGTTATGTTTTTACTCTCTGGTAAATGTGTGCATAATGGCAATGAGGGTCTTCTGTCATAAGATTGTAACGATTAGCTTTGCAGAGCCTTATATTTTATAGTTTTGTGTGCTGTCCTGTTGGCCACATGCTGAAACCCTAGCTCTGGTTTTGAAGGCAGGTCTTCAAAAATAGGTCTTTTACAAGACCTGTTTTTACAGGTCTTGTAAAAATAGGTAAATATCAGAAACAAATGTGTAAGCATCATGGGACACATAACTCAACACAAAGCCACTCAATGTTGTTCTTCCTCAGGAGAAGGGACCTTTGTGGTTACAGTTTCCAAATGTGCCTTGTGATGACAGTTACAGTTGAATATACTTCCTAGAGATTTAAAATTTTCGCTGATAGTCAATAAGAAACCATAAGAATGTATGCTTAAATTTTTCCAAGTGCGATCATACCTGGTAACACTGCAGCATCCTTTTTGCCTCTAATTCTAGTTTCATACTAAACGTGCTCAACTGGGTTACTGGGAGACACAGAGAAGGTTAAATGAAGTGAATTTCGTATTATGCCCTCTTTGTATTTTTTGTTAGGTTCTCCAATCTCTGAAGCTGAAAACATATGTATATTGATAAGGGAGACAGATTTATTTGTTCATGTTCCCAAGGCCAAGAGCAAGGGCTGTGTGCCAAGAGTATTTCGGTGGCTCCTTCATGTAGTGGAAGGAAGATCCACCTGAATCTCTGAAGTTGAGTCAAAATAAACTTAAAGTCAAGTAAGAAATGTTAAATATGCAGGAGATCTGAAAAAAATATAAGCAGAGAAGAACACAAAATTATTCTAATAAACTATCAGTGGAATTATTGCCGGACCTATCCGGGTCATTGTGGACAGTGATGTACTCATTTGATCTCTTACTTTTAATTTACTACCAACATTCATCTAAATTAATATGGTGGCATAAAGGCAAAGAGTGTCTTAATGTGCCTCAAAATACTTACAAGAACATTACTTTTTTAATGGCATTCAGCATTTGTTCAATGATACTTCTGAATAAGAACACATCCTTTAGGGTCATAGCTATTGACTTTTCAATCATTGAACTGTCACTTAAAATTTCTGTCCATGAGAGTCAAAATTGTTACGCATCCATCTGAAATAATTATTTTATTTTGCAAAATGCAGTTTTTAAAAAACTACTCTGACACGTTAAGCAAATGTTTTTTAAATGTAATTACTTAAAAGCAACACAGAACATTATGGATTATTTCAATCAATATGGCAATGGTTTACATTCTAGTTTCTAACTTCCTAACCAAATATAAGATCAACGATTTTTTAAAAAGCTTTTTGCTTATCTTCAGTACTTTCCTTTGTGGATAATAACTCTTAAAAAAAAACAATGACTCCCTCCGGATGGAAGAACTGGAGCGCAGTGGGCCATGGAATAGAGACCTACTTTCCTTTTGTAGTCTTTCATGCCATATTTGACTTTAAAAATACTTTTATCTATTCACATTTATATAAAGTTTTAAAATATAAAAATATATAGTTTTGATCATGTGAAAAATGTGCTTCACGATGAAAATGGAATCATGAGGGATAAGATTCAAATATTTTAGCTGTTATCTTACATTCAAAGAAAAAGATTGCCTGAAATAGAGAAAATCTAGACTGCAGTTCCACAAGGGGACTCTGGGCGCCGCTGTCGGCCAGTGCAGGGCGAGCGCTGATGCTCAGGATTCCTCGGCCTTCAGCTCAGGATTTCCTGCGCAGCCTCCGACACAGAGGGAAACCCGCTTACACTAGGGCTCCCGGCTGCGCAGACTCGCCCTGCAGAAGCGGAATCGCAGCCCCAAGACTGGGGTCTCCGCCTGTCCTGGGCTGAGTGCTCTTCCAGTGCGGTAGTGAGCACTTTCTCCAACTGGAAAGACTGAGACCCAGCGGCAACTAGAGCGCAAGATGGGAGGGAGCTGCGCGCAGAGGTGCGGAGCCAGCCGGCTGCAGGTACTGTTTCCCCTCCTGCTGCCTTTGTTCCACCGCGCGCTCTGCGAGCCGATCCGCTACTCGATTCCCGAGGAGCTGGCCAAGGGCTCGGTGGTGGGGAACCTCGCCAAAGATCTAGAGCTCAGCGTTCTGGATGTATCAGCTCGGAAGCTGCGGGTTAGCGCGGAGAAGCTGCTTTTCAGTGTAGACGCGGAGAGCGGGAACTTACTGGTGAAGGACCGAATAGACCGTGAGCAGATTTGCAAAGAGAGAAGAAGATGTGAGTTGCAGTTGGAAGCCGTGGTGGAAAATCCCTTGAATATTTTCCATATCATTGTGAATGTTGAGGATATTAATGACCATGCCCCTCAATTCCATAAAGATGAAATAAACTTAGAAATCAGTGAATCTGTCAGCCCAGGAACGGGAACAATTCTTGACTCTGCAAAAGATCCTGATATAAGTATGAATTCACTGAGCAAATACCAACTAAGTCCTAATGAATATTTCTCTTTGGTGGTAAAAGACAATCCCGATGGTGGCAAATATCCAGAATTAATACTGAAGAAGAACCTGGACCGAGAAACGCAGAGCGCCCACCACTTAGTACTAACAGCCTTAGATGGTGGCGATCCGCCACGAAATGGCACTGCTCGGATCCGAATCCTGGTGGTGGATGCCAATGATAACCCCCCTGTGTTCGGCCAAGATGTGTACAGGGTCAGCATTCCAGAGGACGTGCCCCTCGGCACCTCTGTGCTGAGGGTGAGTGCCACAGACCAAGACGAAGGCTTCAACGCAGAGGTCACCTATTCCTTCTTTGGTGTGGCTGATAAAGCCCAGCACGTGTTCTCTTTGGATTCTGCTACAGGAAACATTATAACTCATCAACCCTTGGATTTTGAAGAAGTAGAAAGATATATAATGGATATAGAAGCAAAGGACCGAGGATTTCTCTCTACACGATGTAAAGTAATTATAGATGTTCTAGATGAAAACGACAACAGCCCAGAGATAATTCTCACTTCTCTCTCTAATGAGATTTTGGAGAATTCCCCTCCAGGAACCGTTGTTGCCCTCTTCAAGACTAGGGACCGGGATAATGGAGGAAATGGAGAAGTCATATGTAATATAGGAAGAGCTGTTCCTTTCAAGATTTACTCCTCTTCTAATAATTACTACAAGCTGGTGACTGATGGGGCTCTGGACCGAGAGCAGACTCCAGAATACAACGTCACCATCACAGCCACCGACAGAGGCAAGCCGCCCCTCTCCTCCAGCACCACCATCACTCTGCACATCACCGACGTTAACGACAACGCCCCGCTTTTCCAACAGTCCACCTACCTGATCCACGTGCCAGAAAACAACCCGCCCGGGACCTCCATTGCGCAGGTCAGCGCCTCCGACCCCGACCTGGGGCCCAACGGCCTCATCTCCTACTCCATCGTGGCCAGCGACCTGGAGCCACAGGCGCTGTCCTCCTACGTGTCCGTGAACGCGCAGAGCGGCGTGGTGTTCGCGCAGCGCGCCTTCGACCACGAGCACCTGCGCGCCTTCCAGCTGACGCTGCAGGCCCGCGACCAGGGCTCGCCAGCGCTCAGCACCAATGTCAGCCTGCGCGTGTTGGTGACCGACCGCAACGACAACGCGCCAAGGGTGCTTTACCCGGCGCTGGGTCCCGACGGCTCTGCGCTCTTCGACACAGTGCCGCGCGCCGCGCAGCCGGGCTACCTGGTCACCAAGGTGGTGGCTGTGGACGCGGACTCGGGACACAATGCCTGGCTGTCCTACCACGTGCTGCAGGCCAGCGAGCCTGGACTGTTCAGCCTGGGGCTGCGCACGGGCGAGGTGCGCACAGCGCGAGCTTTGGGCGACAGAGACGCGACCCGCCATCGCCTGCTGGTCGCTGTGCGCGATGGGGGACAGCCGCCTCTCTCGGCCACTGCCACGCTGCTCCTGGTCTTCGCTGACAGCCTACAAGAGGCCCTGCCGGACCTCAGCGAACGCCCCACACCCTCTGACCCCCAGGCTGAGCTGCAGTTTTACCTGGTGGTGGCCTTGGCCTTGATCTCGGTGCTCTTCCTATTGGCCGTGATTCTGGCCATTGCTCTGCACCTGAGACGCTCCTCCAGTGCGGCCACTGGCGGCTGCTTTGGGTCTGTTCTTTGCTCCAAATCTGGACTGGAGATTCCCCCCAACTACAGTGAGGGTACTTTGCCCTATGCCTATAATTTGTGTGTGCCTGGGGATCAGACTAATTCAGCATTTAATTTTCTAACATCTGCTGATCATTGTCCAGCCAGGCAAGATTCTCTCAACAAAGACAGCTCTTCAGCACTATTGGGTAGCATTCTAACTGCTAGTGTTGACGCAGATAAGAAGGCTTTAAAGCAGGTAAGTGGTTAAAATGATGCTTTTTACATTCCAAAATGCCAGTATATACCAATATGAAGATCCTGTGTTCAATGTCTTAATAGAGTTCCTAAAATAAATCTTGGTCAGAACTATCGGTATCAGTGTTAAGACTAAAGTTTACAATGCTGTGATCCTTCTAATATTCAAGTGCATTTTAAGGGAAACATATGGAGAGACCGCAGGGGAAATTTTCATGAAATAAGTACCTTTTAATTAAGGAAATGGCATACAGGTACCTCGTATTTTATGGTATTTTAAAATAACCCTAATGCCATTCAAATCTTCTCAAACTGGGACCGTGCTAGTTACACATATAAAAATGCTGTGCTCTTCAGTTGATAAAAATTAATAGGAACCAAACCAAAACCAGCAAGTTTTTAGTTCCAGTAAGTTTTGAAAACTTTTTAAATAATTAAGTACTCCCTTTTAAGAATCACTCGTTCCAAAAGTGCTATCGGTAAACTTTTAACATTGCATTGTGTAACTCTTTGTTGTTCTGCGATTTAAACGTTACCTACTCTGTACGAATGATTTTCCAAGAGGTGAGTGCAAAATTTATTAACTTCTGGAACGGGTGATTAGTTGGGTTTTCTTACTTGTTGCAATAATAAGATTGGACTCCAGGCGCCGCTGTTCACCAACCAGGGAACGGGAAGCCGCGAGCTAGAGTCCCGTCCTCCCCCACCTTTATAGCACAAAGCACAGTGAGATGGATACTCACGGATCCTGATGCTGGAAACTTAAAGTACGGACTTCCTTTCGCTCTTTAATATATTTTGGATGCAGTCGGCGCGGGGCTTCGCAGATACATAAGCTGGATCACAATAAACCGGCTCAAGAAACCGCGGAATATCGGCTCAGCCATTGCCATGGGGAATCAGCTACTACGCCTGGACCGCAGCGGGCTGGTCCTACTGTGCATTTTCCTGGGCACCCTGCGGGAGTCTGGGGCCGGGCAGATCCGATATTCGGTGCCCGAAGAGACAGACAAAGGCTTCTTCGTGGGCAATATTTCCAAGGACCTCGGTCTGGCGCCCTGGGAGCTGGCGGAGCGCCGCGTCCGCATCGTCTCCAGGGGAAAGACGCAGCTTTTCGCTCTGCATCCGCGAAGTGGCAGCTTGATCACTGCAGGTAGGATAGACCGGGAGGAGCTCTGTGAGACGATGTCCTCCTGTTTTTTAAATATGGAGATACTCGTGGAAGACACCCTGAAGATTTACGGAGTGGAAGTGGAAGTAATGGATGTTAATGATAATGCCCCCAGCTTCCGGGAGGAGGAAATAGAGATAAAAGTCAGTGAGCACGCAACTCCCGGCTCGCGATTTCCCCTTCCTAATGCTAGGGATCCAGACGTAGGAATGAATGCCCTACAGCGCTACCAGCTCAATCCTAATAGTTACTTTTCCTTGCAAGTGCGAGGCAGAACCGATGGGGCCAAGAATCCCGAGCTAGTGCTGGAGGGGAGCCTGGACCGAGAGAAAGAGGCTGCTCACCTCCTCCTGCTCACAGCCTTAGATGGAGGAGATCCCATTCGTCAGGGCACTGTCCCCATTCGTGTGGTAGTCCTCGACGTAAATGACCATATCCCAAAGTTTACACAGTCTGTATATCAAGTGAGTGTTCCCGAGAACCTCAGCTCTGGAACTCGGGTGCTCACGGTAAACGCAACTGATCCAGATGAGGGAATCAATGGGGAAGTGGTGTATTCATTTCGGAATGTAGAAAGCAAAGCTTCTGAAATATTCCACTTGGATTCTAGAACTGGAGAAGTCTCAATACAGAGGCCTCTGGATTTTGAGAAATATAGGTTCTACGAGATGGAAATTCAAGGCCAAGATGGTGGAGGCCTCTCAGTCACTGCTAAGATGTTGATCACAGTTGTGGATGTGAACGATAATGCTCCAGAAATAACTATCACATCTTCTACCAACTCAGTAATGGAAAACTCTCCTCCAGGTACAGTAATTGCTCTTCTAAATGTGCAAGATCAAGACTCCGGAGAAAATGGTCAAGTTTCTTGTTTCATTCCTAACCATCTGCCTTTTAATTTAGAAAAGACTTATGGAAATTATTATAAGTTGATAACAAACAGAGCACTGGACAGAGAGCAGATCCAAAGCTACAATATAACATTGACAGCTACCGATCAGGGAAGTCCACCCTTGTCTACAAAAACCCACATCTCACTAAATGTAGCGGATGACAACGATAACCCGCCCACTTTTGCTCACTCCTCTTACTCGGCATACATTCCTGAAAACAACCCCAGAGGAACCTCCTTTTTCTCAGTGGCAGCATTTGATTGGGACAGCAAAGAAAATGCCAGGGTCACTTACTCCCTGGTTGAGGACACCATTCAAGGAGTTCCCCTGTCCTCTTACATCTCCATCAACTCAGACACCGGGGTCCTGTATGCGATGTGCTCCTTTGACTATGAGCAGTTCCAAGACCTGCAGGTACAAGTGATGGCACAGGACAGTGGGGACCCGCCACTCAGCAGCAATGTGTCACTGAGTCTATTTGTGCTGGACCAGAATGACAATGCTCCAGAGATTCTGTACCCCTCGCTCCCCACTGATGGTTCCACTGGTGTGGAGCTGGCGCCCCGCTCTGCAGAACCCGGCTACCTGGTGACCAAGGTGGTGGCAGTGGACAGAGACTCAGGCCAGAACGCCTGGCTGTCCTACCGCCTGCTCAAGGCCAGCGAGCCAGGGCTCTTTGTGGTGGGGCTGCACACGGGCGAGGTGCGCACCGCGCGTGCTCTGCTGGACAGAGATGCGCTCAAGCAGAGCCTGGTGGTAGTGGTCCAAGACCATGGCCAGCCCCCACTCTCAGCCACCGTCACCCTCACTGTGGCTGTAGCCGACAGCATCCCAGAGGTCCTGGCAGACCTGGGCAGCCTGGAGTCTCTCACCAACCCTGATGATTCAGGCATTACATTGTACCTGGTGATGGCTGTGGCTGTAGTCTCCTGCGTCTTTCTCGCCTTTGTTGTCATACTTCTCACACTCAGACTGCGGCGCTGGCACACGTCACGTCTGCTCCAGGCTTCAGGAGGGGGTTTGGCAGGTGTGCCCGCCTCGCACTTTGTGGGCGTGGACGGGGTGCGGGCGTTCCTGCAGACCTATTCCCACGAGGTCTCCCTCACCGCGGACTCTCGGAAGAGTCACCTGATCTTCCCGCAGCCCAACTATGCAGACACGCTCATCAGCCAGGACAGCTGCGAGAAAAGCGAGCCTCTCTTGGTAGTTGAAGATTCGATTACCGATTTGGGCAAATGTGATCCTACAACTCATCAGGTGAGATTTTTTCCCATGCCTCACAATTATTAGTGTTTCTGCAGAAGTCCATTAAGTTGCTTTTCCCTTTTTTTGATGAGTCTCTTTTAAAAAGTGTTGGGGGGCATATTCAGTTCATACAGACTTAGAGCAATACATGTGAGTTTGTGTATTTTACCTGTAATCAAATTACCATTTTCCAGAAAGGTTTTGTGAAAGTCAACTTTTTTTTTTTTTTAGTTCTGGTTTTCTTTTAAATCCAAAGGTCTCATTTTGCTATCATGACCTGCTCTATAGTAAGTTGAATTTAGTAATATTTTTCTATCGTCAGTGTCTGTGGCTATAAGTGTAAACTGGTTATGACTCTCAAACATTTATTTATTTCCCTATTTAAACTTTGCATCACCTCCATGATTATAATTATATTTTACCATTATTTGCTTAACTTCGGATGCTCAGATTTGACCCTGCTGACTCAACAGCATACTCTAGCGCTTTTTCTTATCTATCTACATACACACAGCCACACATATGTCCACATTTATACATGTAAGCTTTTTTCTGAGCACAAAACAATTATATTTTTATGGCTGTTATGTTTAGACCCTGATGATCATTTCAACATTGTCTCACTAATTACTACACTCCCTTGTGAGAAGAAATGTAGAACACATGTTCCCCCTTATGTTCTAGACATCTTTTCTATTTCTACAGTGAAGTCATTAGGTAGTCTGAAGAAATAATTGAGTTGTTGAACTGGTGTTATTTCCTTTTATTTTTTATTTGTACTTTATGTGTTGAAGGGTTTTTTAATGTAAAGTCACAGATATAGTTAATTTTAATCCAGTGCTTCTCAAAAAATTATTTTCAAATCTGTTAAACATGTTTACATTTTTCATATTTATTCATAGGGAATAGTTTGTGAGTCTAAGAGATGGAGTGGGTTTTTAGACTTCATAATAGACTGATTTAGCTGCTATTCCTTTCAATATTTTTGTCTTCAATATGCCAGTGAATCATAGATTCCCTGTTTCTGTCCTTCATAAGCTCATTTTGTATCATGTCTAAGTATACTCAGTTCTTTTATTCAGAACCAACCTGTTATTGAAGCCCTAAGAGTCCCCTCCTAACACAGGTATTATCTGAAGCAAGGTACAGGAAAGCCGAGCCTGGAGCGGAAACCAGTCAGGGCACTGGGTCACGGAGTCATCTCCCTAATCAATGAAGCTCCTCGTTCTCACACCATCTCTGGATATTGGTCCAAAGTATTTGTACGCTCATGTTCCCTCTTAGGAATTAGCCTTAATATAATTAACTGTACATAAAGTGTTTAATAATTGAGCAAAAAGAATTTCAACTTTAGGAAAGGGAAGTCTTGCAACAGATGCCTAAATTTGTCTTGAATCAAGAAAATGTTATTGTGTTCAGAGCATCTTGGGATAGAATTATGCTTATAGAATTCCAAACAGAAAAAGATTGAACACATTTTGTTTGAGCTGAAATTAGACGAATAAAAAGGGTGTGAGGTATTTTTCTGGGAGAGGAAAGGGTTCTATGTTTTTTAAAATGTAGTCTATCAAGACCTTGGAAAATAAAAAGGAAAGGTTGGTTTTGAAACTTAAGCTTAAGAACGTTACTTTGACCCAAAGGTAGTAATAAAGTTCTAGTAAGGTGTGACGTATGGTCCGGATAAACACACGAACAGAGCCCTGACCATTGTGGGTGTGGCTCAGATGGCTGGTCATTGTCCCTCAGAACGAAAAGTGGCCAGTGGGATTCCAGGGTCGGGGCACATGCCTGGGCTGTGGGTCCCTGGTTGACACATACAAGAGGCAACCTGTCTATGTTTCTCTCTCACATCACTGTTTCTCTTCCTCTCATTCTCCCTCCCTTCCCCTTTCTCTAAAAAAAAAAAAACAACTACAAATAAATAAACAAATAGAAACAAAACACTCTCACGTTTCCTGTCATTAAATTCCTATGGTGACCTACTAGGGTAGACTTCTATAAGTAACGGCGAAGACCTGCTGGCAGTGGCCGTCCTCATCCTGAGTGCACCCTATATAGCTCTGAGGTCTCCCCTGGTTTCCTCTGATAAGTGGAGGAGGGAAATTTATCTGCACATAGGATCGAATCTAATGCTGGGCGTCATTTCATGGCTGTCAAACTTTCTCCGTACCACTTGGTGGAGCTATTTTCTCACGTGGTCTATGTTCGAAGTCTGGAGAGAAGACTTTGCTTTGTTCTTCCAGTATCTTCACTGCCTCCGATTAGAAAAACACAAACATCTCATTCGTGGATTAATGGCTGCTCTACAGGATCCCATCTCTAAGGAACTTTGGCGGTAAACACTGGAAAACAGACCTATCCAAAACTCACAAGTTGACTCCTTTCCTACGCACCAGTCCAACACAGCTGTTGGAATAGTAAATCCCAATTATTTGCAAGGCTCTGGCTGCAGTTTTCAGAACAGACTCCGAGCGCCGCTGTTGGCCAATGTGCTGCGGGAGCTGGAGCGCAGGATCCACCCCGGTGATTTTCTGCGCAGCCACCAAAGCAA